GTATTTCGCAGCTTTCTCTCTTGAGAAAGTACTTTTGCTTGAAAATAAGGTCATATTCGGAATCAGCATGAAAAACTTCATCTAATGGTATATAAGCTAGCCGCCTTCGGCAAAGTATTGCTCAGTTTCTAAAAGTCGAACATTTGTGAGCGTTTTTGTTAGAAGTTTGATATCGATTTTTTGGAAGACCTCTTAGCGTCGCGCAAATATTTTCAAAGCACAAATTTATAGGTTTTAGGTTACGGCGAGTCTGAAACTTTGTTTTAAAACAATTGCAAACTTTTTCTAGGGGATTTTTGAAGCCTGGATCTCTGAAGTTGCAAAAAGTCAGTCTACATTTAGAGCGGAAATTGACTTCCGCAAGAATGAAAGCTGTTTTAATTTCTACCAAATCATGCAAACTGGATTTTTTTTTAAATAGAGTTGTAGACCGACGTCTGATTTACAATTTAGCCATTCCGAAAATTTCTTCAGTGGCGGACTTTTGGGAAAAACCGTAAGAGAAGGTCGGTCTACAAAAAACGGAAAAGATGCTTGTAAAATGATTATATCTAAAAGACAACAAAAAAAAGTAAACAAAGTTGAACACTAATCATATGGTTAGATTCACAATTCACTTCTCTACAGGATGCGCTGCTTTCCTTTTCTTTTTATATCTTTTTATATAATCAAAAACTCAGTTTTCAGATGATGAGTCATCAGAAAATTAAGTTTTTTCAACTTTCGAGTCCCATAACTTTGCAACGAAAGGACATATCGAGCCACAATTTTTTGTGGAAGTGGGCAAAGTACTAGGCAAAGCACAGGAAAAAATTTGCTCATGCGAGCCTCTTGTAACCTGAGTTATTATAGAAACATATCTAAACAAATGATTGTACTAGAAAGTTACGTTTCTCTCATATATGCAGTGTTGTGTTTGAGCGTCTGTCAGTGATTCTTACTATATTCATTTCTACTAATTGTTGCACAATAAATCTTACACACAGGCAGTAATTTCGTTTAATTTGTCAGTCAGAGCTTAGGACCGGAGAATACAAAGAAAATGTCTCACTTGAGCATAGCCTAGTATATGACAAATCATCGTAGAATAATGTTTGAGTATACATCGTTTCGTTCTCATTTTTTCTGTTTGTAAGATTTAGTTATGTTTTCACCCATTTAAAAACTAAATACAAGAGACCAAGCAAAGTTGATTTGATCAAAAAAGTCTCCCAGTAAGAAGAAGTTGAAGTGACAGCATAGTGGAATCAGCTCTTACGCATATATACATATATATTACTCAGATATGTTAGTGCTTATCTAATTTTTTTCAAATATTAAATTATCATTAAGTACTCTTTAAGCAATACATTATTCTCTTGGTAACAACTAGAGCATCAAACAACATAATAGGTAAGTTGACTTTTTTAATTAATAGCCATTGAAACTTCCAATTTCAAATGTTTGTCGTAATATAAACTTTAGTAACCTTTGTTAAATTACTGTTCACATTATTCAAAGTGATCGTATTGCCTAGCGATGTCTAATGAAATTGGTGATACATTAAAACTGATGGCTCTTGGTCGTCCATTTCAGCTTGGAATGCTCTACAATGGCAGAAGTGATGCTTATAATAATAGTAACTGTAACAATGTAATTATAATGACCGCTTATTCCGGGTATTACATTGTGGGATCCAGAAATATTAAAATAAAATATTCAGTCTGCTGATAATACTCGAGACACGCATTTTAAGATTTCCACAGAAGATACATTTGAAGAAAAGTCAGCTATGCTTGGAATCAATGCTGAATTAAAATTGAGCGTATTAGCTGGTCTTGTTAAAGTATCCGGTGCAGCGAATTATGTCAATGATCGTAAAGAAACTGAACTTATTGAACGTCTGACATTGAAGTATTCGACAACAACACGTTTTGATCAACTGACAATGGCTCATTTGGGCAAAAAGAAGACGAATCATCCAGAAGTATTTGATCAACAAATTGCTACGCATGTTGTTACTGGTGTTCTCTATGGTGCCGAAGCGTTCTTCATACTTGATCGATTAATTTCTGATAGTGAAGATCGCACAGAAGTTCATGGCTCTGTTAAGGCTGCACTGAACAAAATTACTAAAATTCGAATTTCTGGTTCCGGAGAAGTGGATTTGACTGATGATGATAAAAAAGACACTGATAAATTAACATATCAGTTTTATGGTGATTTCAATTGACACCTTTCATTGACATTCTCGAAGAGCAAAGAAAAAAATATGTTGTTAATCTTTCTTCGATTCTTTTCTTAATGTCGATGAGAAAATGAATGACACAACAGAAAAATTTCACAAAAGAAAATCAACATTAACTACATCTTTTGATTTCTATTGAAATAACGCGCATCAACGGCGTATGACGAATGTCAAGCATATTTTCTTCATTGTCAATAAAGTCGATATGCAATGAACAGTGAGACTTAATTTGAATGAGATTTTTTAAAAACTGATATCACATTAGTTGAAATTGTCGGCAAAACATTTCTCTATATTTTTTCTCTGTTTATTGAATTGAATTTTCATAGAAGAAAACAACGGTGGAAGACGATGATCATTTTAGACGGAGAAACAATGGTTTTTGGCTTTCACCGAATACTTTTCATTTGAGTTGACATTTCTCTGCATCGAAGAATAAATGATCAAGACCAAGTAGAAAGATAAACATTTGTCATTGACATATTGAAACATCGATCATTTATGAAAAACTCATTTAAATTCTGAAAATTCTGTCCGAGAATTGTCACACATTGTTGAAACTGAACGAGTAAAAGTGTAATGATCACTTATAAATTGTAATTATTTTGTTACCTGTGTAATGAAGAGTATACACTATATTGACTAAACTGATGCGTATGATGAAAGAAATTCTTTAATATTATCATTGATCGGACAAAGTTAAACATTGTCGTTGATTATTATATCAAATCAATTGTTTCAAATCCCATCCAATGTTTTATCGGTACGAATTGATATTTCTATTTTAACATTTGTACAAATAGATCCAATCTTGACTTTTTTTAGATCGAATGATATTTAAGATTGGTTGATACTCATCATCATTCATATTGTTATCACATTGAATTCATCTATAATTCTTAAAATTAATAACACATTTTATAACTCAACCGAATTCCGAGCAATATCAAATGAAATGTTGAATTTCTTAATTTTGATGGTCTTTTATTCATTTAATTTGTCTAATAATGATATTAATAGATGCGATAGATCATCGCTGAACAAGACATTCGTCAATGGACAAGTCAATAAAACGATGTGGTTTCCTTCAGTTCATCATTCACTCTATTCAGGTCAAGGCTTTTTACTAAACAAGTTCCTGTATGAATTATTCTCAATCTCGATATTGATAAATCCATTGTCAAATCTTCTTCCAACAATCAATATTGTGACGAAATATAATCTATACTTCTGTAGCTAGGTCTAGTTTATTTGATTATTGTTCTCGTCACCAAGATAGAATAATAAATAACAATAACTCGTTAAGAATACACCAACGACAACTGCTTCTCCTCTTGTTCTTTTTCCCTTTTTATATCCCTTCGAATCACCTAGGGAACAGAGCGCGAGAAGTAGCGAAGAGGTTAAGAGAGAGAAAGAGAAAAAGAGAGAGAGAGTGAAAGAAATGGTCCAATCATTGTTGTTGGATGAATACACAGATCGTTCACCTTGTCGATTAGTCAAGCTAATCGATTAGTTGTTCTCAAAGACACAAATCATCTTCTAAAAGAAATACAACTATTAAATACATAAATTGCAAATGAAAATCTAAATGTTAAGAATCTATTTCTACTTAATAGTGATATTACGTCTCTTTATACAAATATTCCACAAGATGATGGTACAATTTCATTACTAATTATGGGTTTTTACTAGATTTTCCTTTATCGTTAATCACGTTCACTCTACTATTAGATTTAGTACTAAAAAACAACTTCTTCATATTTAAAGGACACTACTTTCAATAAATAAAAGGTACTGCTATGGGTACTGCCTGTACTCCACCGTATGCCAACATCTACGTATTTTCTAAAGAAGTATTAGCATTACACAATTCATTATCAAATATTCAGCATCCTTTCTGCTAGAATACTGTTGTTTTCTTGATGATATTTTTACACTTCTTATTTGTAACGATATCTCAATTGTTAATGATTTATTATCAATTCTCAATAGCATTGATATTAATTTGAAATACACATTTGAAACCAGTCAATCAAACGCTCATTTTCTTGATGTTAATATTTCGATTAATCGATTCATGAATCACCTAGAAACTTCACTATTCGTAAAAACCATCAAATACATTTCAATATCTTCATTTTTCTTCATCGTCCAACAAATGTATCACAAAAAATTTTACACATAAAATATTATGACCGGCATGAATTAATTGTGCAAGATCAAAAGAAAAAGAAGACTTCAATAATATCATTGTTCCATTTCATTCACAACTACCTTCACTACGTCAATTACTTCAGAGTGAATTTTCCACTACTCTGCCGTCTAATCATCGTCTGGTTTATACATGTGCACCTAATCTAGCTCGTATTTTAACTCGTTCACGTTATCTACCATCATTTAGCGACGTTGTTCCATATCTAGACGATCAGCCACGTGGATGTTACCCATGTAAAACAAATCGATGTACAACTTGTAAATATTTAATTGAACAAAACTGATTTATTTCAACATCTACAAAATCAAATATTTAGCATTGCTTTTTCAAGATCTTCTTAGAATTTCTTAAATTATTACATTTTCTTATTAAGATGTTTCCAAAAATATTGAAGAAGTCAAGATCTTGGCTATAAGAAGTTTCACCTAGGAGAATATTTCTCTTCTTTATTACAGATTTGTTTGTCTCTATCTGTTTATGAGCGTTTGATCCCATCTAACATCTCTATGACTGTCAAATCTGCTCAGAACTTTAAAAAAAAGAGTAAGTTTTATCCCAAATACTGTTAGTTTCTTTTCAAATGATATTGACCATATACGACCGATAAAATAATAAAAAAGTTTTATGTTCCACAAATAGTAATGAAAAGAAATGACGAAAGACAGATGTCCTAATCCACTGTTTCTAATTGAGAATTTAGTGTCACATCCAAATGGTAGAAATCGCTATAAAACCCGAAAAATGAGCAGCTGATTTTAGTAGAAAATTGAAAAATCAGTAGAGTTAGCAACTCTGTTTCTATACGCTTGATCTTTAATATAAAAAAGAAATTTAGTCCAGTTGAGTTTTCCAAAAACGGCTTTCGCATTTTTTGACAGTTTCAGTTTCGAATGCTATAAGGTAAATTTTTTCCCGATGTGTTTCGAAAGAATAAAACTTATATCAGCTGTCTGTAGGCATGCACCAGTTACAGTTAACTGTCATAACTGTAGGTATATATTCTAGAGTGATTAGTCTTGTACGATTTGCATACAATTAAAGGATGTCTCTGTTCTTAAAATGTATGCAGATCGTAGAAGACTAATTCACTCTAGAATATTTAACTACAGTTATGACAGTTACAGTTAACTGATAAAAAGCTGTAGCTGATGCATATCTAGCTATATGAACGCTAACTCTATATACACACAAATTTAGCCTAAATAGAGAAAAGTAAGAAAGAAACACTTGAATGTGTTGCGAACTTTAAACTTGGTCAGATTTTAAATCTATCCGGTCAAAATCCAAATTTAACCTTTGACCAGTAATTTCTCTGATAAAATTCAAATAAAAACAAAATGATATGATGAACGGTAAAAAGGTACATATGCCTTTAAGTTATTCATTTTTATCGTAGAAAAAGTCAAAAAGGATATAAAAACTTGTTCAAAAGTGGATGATCGTCTAGATATGGAACAACGTCGCTAAATGATGGTAGATAAC